GGGGGTCGTCTTATACGGCGAGTATATCCCAAACTCTATATTTTAGCTAGAAAAATGGGGGGGTCGTCTTATACGCCCAGTCGTCTTATACGCTAGAAAATGCGGTACCTTGGTATTAATATCACTACAAAAACTCAGATTTATTTTAAAATAATTATGAAACTAAATGGAAAGAAATAAAGACTTTGAAAAATGGGGAAAGATTGGATTATCATGGTTGGGGGAAATTTCGGCCATAAAAATGACTACCTTACCTAAAACGATCTTCTTGTTTCAAAATCTTCCGATTATTGTAAATGATAAACCCTTTAAGATCTGGCAAAAGGATATTTCAAAATTCCTCTGGTCGGATAAAAAAAAAAACCAGAGTAAAATTTAAGTTATTACAAGATGAATAGAGGAGGTTTGTCATTACCAAACTTCAGAATTTACTACTATGCATGCACATTAGATTGGTTAACTGATTGGATAGAACTTGAGAGAAAAAGACTTTTACAACTAGAAGGAGCGGATATTAGATTCGACTGACACGCTTATATTTTTTATGACAAAGTGAAGATCAATAGAGATTTCAATGACAATTATATTACGAAAACATTATTACGGATGTGGCTAAAATTAAAACCAAGACTTTGTTTGGGTACACCTAGATGGGCATCTTCTGTAAATGAGGCTTTCTTTCTTCAATAGAACTCCATTAGATAATACAAGATGGGTAACATATGAAGATCTACTTAAAGGAAATAAAACAGAATTGGAATCACTAGAACACTTAAGGTCAGAAGGACTGAATTGCACCTGTTTCACCTATTATTAAATTAAGAGTAGATTTACTTCAGATAGAAAAACAAATAGCATCAAAGAGGCAGATCTGGCATTTGAAAAAATAATAAAATTGGAAGAGAACCATAGAATTAGAAAATTTTATAAATTGTTACTGAAATTCGATATGGAAGAAGAAGTGGTGAAACCTCAGATGATAAAATGGGCCCAAAATATTGGAACCTCGATAAGTCTGGAGCAATGGGGAAAAACGTGTACTAAAAGATTAAAATACACCCTAAACTACAATTTAAAAGGAAATTTCTACAAAATGCAATTCAGATGGTATATCACTCCATTAAAATTGGCAAAAATTTATAAAAAAGAAAAAGATATTTGTTGGAACTGTGAAAAAGAACTGGTCTCCTTTTATCATATGTGGTGGAACTGCAAATGGGCAAAGATATATTGGGATGAAATCCACAACGCAATAGAAACAATGATAAAGTGTAAACTATATAAAGACCTGATGAGATACTTAAATATAAACCAAGAAGAAAATATAGAAAGATTCCATTGTACACTTATGTTTTATTTGACCACCGCAGCTAGGTTGATGTTCGCTTCGAAATGGAGACAGAAAATGATACCAAAAATTGAAGAATTTTTATGGATTATGTAGAACAGAAATGGGGTCAGCATTAGTATATAGATCTAAAACAATAAAAGGATATGTTCTTCTTTAAAAGTAATTTACCAGAAAGTATTTTATGTGGTAACCATATAACCATGAGATATTTGGATTGAATCAATATACCATAGTAATATAAATAAGAAATCTTTATATTTCGTATTCAGATAGTATTATTATTATTATTATTATTATTATTATTATTATTATTATTATTACTTTCTTTTAGGGTTGTATACATACGAGTTATACAGTATTAATCAACACTTAGGAGGGAAATATATATTTCAAGTAAATTACAGATTCAGTAGATTGGTTAAGGAAGTCATGTTGTCTAATGGTTGTAAATGTATGTATGTCTTGTCTTATGTTTTGTTTTTATGTTGTTTTATGTTTTTTTATATATGTTGTTTTTAATTAATTAAATTATTTTTAAAAGAAATAAGACCATTTTAACAGCCCTGGCTCAGTACTAGGGGATCCTGGGATTGTAGTTTGTTGTGGCACCTGAGT